GCTTCCTAACATCAGAACCCATGGTGCACTGGAGGACCCGGGTTTTCTACCCTTCTGCCACCCTGACTGGATCCTGGGCACTGGCTGGGGTCTGGTCGACTCGGAGATGGGCTGGGTTGGGTGGTATCCACTCAGCTCGGCTCAACCTCAGGCCCTGAGAAGTCCAGGTGCCAGTCTCAAATTGAGCCTTTCATTGGCTTTCTCTCTGCCCTTCCCCGCCCTCCTGACCTCTGCCCCTTTTGTCGAGCTGTCTGATTGGTTGTCCCTGGTCCCCGGGGCGTCTCATTGGTGGTTCTTCCTCGCCCTGCATCCCTGCTCTTGCACTGGTCTCCATCTCCCAGCAGAAGGCGCAGCCATGAATCCGTTATTTGGCCCCAACCTCTTCCTCCTACAGCAGGAGCAGCAGGGCCTGGCGGGGCCGCTGGGTGACCCTCTGGGAAGTGACCACTTCTCTGGGGGAGGAGACGTGTCTCCGTCGCCGCTCGCCCCACCGGGCCCACCTCCCTACTCGCCGCCGGGGTCCGGCCCAGCACCCCCTGCCGCCATGGCCCTCCGCAACGACCTGGGCTCCAACATCAATGTGCTTAAGACACTGAACCTCCGCTTCCGTTGCTTCCTGGCCAAGGTGCACGAGCTGGAGCGCCGCAACCGGCTGCTGGAGAAGCAGCTGCAGCAGGCGCTGGAGGAGGGTAAGCAGGGCCGGCGGGGCCTGGCTCGCCGCGACCAGGCGGTGCAGACCGGCTTCGTCAGCCCTATCCGGCCCCTGGGGCTGCCCCTGGGCTCCCGGCCGGCCGCCGTCTGCACCCCGTCGGCGCGGGTGCTGGGCTCGCCCGTGCGCTCTCCGGCTGGCCCCCTCGCGCCCTCCGCCTCCTGCCACTCGTCGCCCTCCACCTCTACCTCCGCTGCCTTCTCGTCGGCCCGCTTCATGCCCGGCACCATCTGGTCCTTCTCTCACGCCCGCCGGCTCGGGCCGGGACTGGAGCCCACGCTAGTGCAAGGGCCTGGCCTCTCGTGGGTGCACCCCGACGGGGTGGGCGTCCAGATCGACACTATCACCCCCGAGATCCGCGCGCTCTACAACGTACTGGCCAAAGTGAAGCGCGAGCGGGACGAGTACAAGCGGAGGTAGGGACTGAGCGGGTGGGGACAGGGCCCAGTATCCTGCCACACTCAGGGCTGGGACTTGGTGCGGAAAGGGCAGCTGGGGCCCAAGAATTAGGGAAGAATAAGAGTAAAGTTCCTGCTGTGTGAGGAGGAGCTTGGAAGTGGATAGATGGAATTGGATCCTGAGAGACTGAATCCACAGAGAATGCAGAAGTCAGACTCGTGACAGGAAGGAGACTAGGAGTGGAATACTGTAGGGAACTCAGTTTACTTCTGGCTTGGCTTTCTGTCTCATCTAGGCTGCAATGTTTAGATGATGGTGTTAACTGTGGGGTTTTGTGAGGTGTGACAGAGACAAGGGTCTGAGAGGTTACATCTGGGGTACCACTTACCCCCATTAACCACAGCCTTCAGACAGTTTTGTGATATAAGCTCCATATACTGATCAGAAGTAAGAGGCAAAGGATACGGCTTTAAATTGGGGAGTCTAAGTGAAATTAGGAAGGAGTGGTGAAGGAAGGGGGTGATCTAGCTGCTGCCCCGGACTTCCCAAAGCTATGTCCTTGGAGGCTGGGCACCCACTCTAGTTTCAGACTAGGGGCTCTGAGAACCTCAGGGCATTGCTTGGAGTAGATACA